AGCTTAAAACTCTAAAAATTTTCTTCAATGAAGGATGAGAAGAAAAGAATTGAAGATTCAAATAACAAATTGGAAAGAAAATAGCCAGGAAACGTGCTCACAGTCTTGCAAAAGAACAAAATTTAAGTGGTTAAATAATGCCTCAGTTTGGAAGAACCAAGAGACCCTCTAAAATATGTTGACTGTCAACAGCTAGTGAAGAAATGATATTTGGAATTTGTGAGGTAGGCATTAACCTTTTCTTCTTTTTGTCTTGCAATCACCAAGTCAAATGTTGAAACCTAAAATCTCCACGTAGTCAATAGATGGCAAGAAATACCTTTGAGAAATTTATGAAAAACCGGTGGAGAAGTTCTAAGTTCACTGATTTATACTACTAGTTTTGAAAAGAGAGAGCCTGATAAACTAGAACGAGCACCCTTTTGAGGGATCATCTGTTGCCAACCTTCTTCTTGACTATAATAGGATAAGTCTACAGCCATGTTTTGGCAATTAATATTGTCCCTAGCACTTCACCATTTTAACACTTGAATATACCTCTACTTAGTTGTGTGCATTGTAATTGTCCAGAACGTGGATGAAAAGGAAAAATGATGAAGCGTGACCAAAGAACTAGACCAAAATCTTATTGTGTGGGAGAGAGATGCAAAGAGACATTTATAGATTATACATATAGGAAGAGAGAGAGAGAGAGAGGGAAGGAATAAAATCTCCTTTTTGCAAAATTATAGAAGATTTGACACATGGTGAACAATGATTCTTGTAAAATAACAGCTTATTACATGGCATTTATAGCCCAACTAATTCAGTCCTATATTCTTTACCTGATTGGAGAGAGAATTACTAATTTTGCTGAGTGTAGCAAGTCATAAGTATAACTTCATAACATACAATGGCTTCTTCACAATAGATCATTGAAATCAAGATAAGGTTATATAATCCCTGCTAATAGTCATATGCATTATTCTATTGCAGTACTATAAGTACTTCTCAAACTTAAGACTTCACTTAGAACCTTCGAAATAAGGAGGTAAAATGTGAAGGTTCTGCAAAAAACCATTTCCCTTTGTTAGTTAATAAGGGGAAAAAATGACAGAAGTTATAGGCAATACATAGAAAACACTAAAATTCTAAATCTCGAAGTCATTCGCAATCATATTTTTTTCCATGTGGAGATTGTGCCGATCATTCTTAATTTTGAACATATTCCACAAGTGTTTTAAACTTAATCATATTGGTATTTCTATCATTGGTCCTTTCACACCTCTAAATCCAAGCTTCAAAGAAAGCTAAGTCGCATATGAGAAATATTCAATCCTAATACCAAGGAATCACAAATGAAAAATCATTCAACTCATTTGCAAATCCCAGAAAATTCAAACGATAACTACTAACAAGAAAGAAGGCAGCACAGATATGTTACAGTTGAAGTAAGAGAACGAACCTTGTGCCAGGATCAACCACCTTCAGTTCTGAATTGTTGTGAATTATGACCTCGGAAACCGGTGTCTTGATGGCCGTAGCCTGATCAGCCAGACACTCCTCTCTGGCCAAGAACGCCACAATATCAAGGGAATTCAGGAAGCCCACAAACCTCTGCTGCCTCATTTCTGCATTCTCAATCACACTCTTCTGTGATCTCTTCTTCCACACGGGAATTCCTCCTTCCGAGGATTCCCCTATGGCCCGAATTGCAGCCTCCACTGTTTCTGTCTGTGCAAACTCAACCAGCTCAGGTTTTCCCACTGTCAGATCCCCCACCACATGGTACAAAAACACTGATGCCATTTCTTCTAAGTTTCCCAACACCAATATCAGTATTATGGGCCTTGTTATTTCCAGTTGAGTCTGAGACGACAGTAGTTACCCTTAATTATCTGGACAAATATATTGTATTTCTTGGACTGATTCAACTAAATTTGCTAGAATGGATCAGTTTTATTTCTCTCCTGGGCCTTTTTCTTAACACAAATGGAACAACTTGAATCAGAAAAATTATATTAGGATCAAGTGAAAGATCTGTAAAAGATCCAATCTTGAACTCAATTAAGAGATTTCAAAAGGCCAAGACTATGGTCTATAAGAGGGAATGAAGGAATACAAGGAAAAGGTGAAAACGAGGAATGGGCAAAAATCTGACAATAACAGCAACACTAATTGAAATGGAGTGAAACCAAGAAAGAGAGGAATTGAGCACCATACAGCAATACTACTATATTCGGTATAATTAAGATGGCAAGGTCCATGAAACTTTCCTCTTTTGGGTAAAAATTTTTCTGGGTTATAAATGCTATCCGCAGATAACAATAAGATTTGACGTGGTTTTTATAAATATTCATATTTATATATACACATACAGAGAGAGTATGGCGGGGATGGATATAGATGAATCTTGAAGACAGAAGGGAAGACAAAGTTAATCTAAAAATTTAGGCCCTGTTCTCTTTACCGTTTTCGGGTCGTTTTCTGTTTTCGATTTTTCAAAACGGTGAAAACGCGTTCTCTTTCCCGTTTTCGAAAACGAATTTCCGAAAACGAAAAAAAATTTGTGAAGAAAACACAAAACGACTTTTTTGTTGTTTTGGGCGTTTTCAGTGTAAAACTTGAAAAAATTGAAAACGCGGGAAACAATAAAATTATTATTGTATGAATTGGGATAACGAAATGGGAAACGAAGAATAAAGACGTTCATATATAGAAATACAAGGATAACGCTAAGCAGCACAAGATTATTTAAGCATTAATCTGTATCAATTAAGACAGGACCAGACGTAGTGGATCCTATTGATTCATTCCCCACATATGGAAAATGATTATAAGTAGAATACTCGAGCACGGTGGCACTGAACCCTATTAATTTATTATCCAATAAATAAGAATACACAAATTTAATTATTGTAGAAAGGTGTAACACTCTTGAAATTTTTACGATAAATAAAATCGGTACATTATAACTTCATTGACAATGAATCAACAAGATCAATTGCTACCTAGACTAACGTCGGTGTTGCTGCACAATATTGTTATTGTACTATAAGTGACAGTAGACGTGATTTATTTTTTGATGAACAAAAATGCATCACAACTTCATTGAACAATGAATTAATTGAAAGAAAATACTTATATGTAAAAATATGGATGGGTGTGACTAGTGTTCCAAAAGCGTAAGTGACTAGGCATGGATGACAAGTTTCAAGTTTTACAAGTTTAGATGTACGAAAACGTTTTCTTATTTATAATGTTATTTTAAATTTCTAATCATTTTAAATAATACATATCAAACATCTAATATTATAAAATACTATATTTACTTAGCATATGTTTGGCTCCCATTAAAATTATAATTCATTTTTCTCTCTTCTTATCAACCACACATTTTCCAATCAAATAATATTATACGTAATCCAAAAAAAAAAATTTCTTCTATTTTAATCAAGCATTTAAATAAATAAATAATATATATATAATCATTAGAATTTCAAATAATGGAGGCCAAGCGGGGGCTTAATAATTCATACAATTAGTCAATTATACAATTTTAAAGTTTTCGAAATACAAAAGCTAGATTATTTTTCCTAATTTCAACTTCCAAGAAGAGGGGTTATACTTAGGCCCCATTTGGTACATATTAATGTAAAAATAAGAATGAAAAATATTGACGTTACGGGCCCCACACAAGAGATAAAAAGTCAAAAATGATGACTTGATATGATGGATAACGATCATATTTTTTATTTTAATAGGTAAAAAATGGGAAACAAACGGAGGCTTAATAAATTTATATGAACTTCATATATATTTTCGAAGTTTTCAATAAAACGATAAGTCTTAAAATCATAATTATATAATATAGATAGTATCATAGTTTAAATCTTATCTAACTCTTTATCAAATACAGTCATCTTTGACTTTTTTTTACAGCTAAAGTCATTTAAAAAATTCAAACTAAAGTCAAACAAAACTTAAAAAAAAAAAGGAAAAATTAAAAAAGTTAATAAATTAAAATCAAATCAAAAGCTTTGAAAAAAAGGAAAAAATTATTAAAGCGCTCCTAGACACGCCTAGTCCCTCATTAAGCTATCAACTTGACAATTGACCGCTTAATTTCACACTTATTGTCAAGATGTAATATTTCGCCTGCATCCAGGGCCGGTCCTGTGATAATGGAGGCCCGAGGCGAGGTCCGTAAATTGGGCCCCCGGACGAAATCAACGTAAAAATTTACGTAAAAATCTAATAACATTTTCAATTATGTACGCAAAAATTTGAGCATTACAAGTTTACGAAAACAATACAAAATTAAAATAACATCCAAAATCCAAAACTATCCCCAAAAAAAAAAAAAAAAATTTAAAGCAAAATTAGGCCCCCTAAGGGTTTTGGGCCTGAGGCTGAGGCCTCAAATGCCTCAGCCCAGGACCGGCCCTGCCTGCATCTCACACTAAACGTGCTTTCAAAACACGGACAGTGCTGTGCACACAGCACCGTGTACAGCCCTCTCACAGTTCAGGGGCCCACGCGCAATAAAAAATTTGCGGGCCCCCCCACTTGTGAGGGGGTTGTAGCTCGAACTGTACAAACAGCATTTTCGTTTAAAACACTGGGCATGAACAAACCCAGAAGGCCTTCCCTTGTACATCTGTAATTAACGTACTGATTCGTTCTTAAATTTTGAAATGTAATGGACCTGTTAACATTCGGAAGAATAATAGATGGTAACTCAATTTTCTTGACAATTAAAAATTTTAAATTTTATATGCATTTCAACCTAAATTTAAGCTAATTATATTTATCTCTCTCCGACTCCCGTGTTTCAATCCTATACTCTCTTCTTTTCAAAATCGTAACCCATTTCCATTATCATCGGAAGGTAAAAGTTGATGATCACAGTTGCAAGTAACAAATCAAGAACTAAATCCCAGTCAAAGAATAAAAGAAATAAGAAGTGGGATCATATCTCATCAATCAATGGTACATTTTCGGTATATCATTTCTGAGAGTTGCAATTACACCTAAAAATGCTACTGTAAATCATATAGCAAAAAACTATTGCAACTGGGCTTCACCTCGTACAATGTTTGTCCAACCACTCCCAGATGATGAAATTATACAGAAAATTCTGAAAAAAGAACAAAACTGAGGGAAGGAGGGGCAAGTCGGGGGACTGTACCAGCTCAAACTCGAAACTCTGCCTCCACTCCAACTCATAGATGAAAAATCTATCATGCCTCAGTTATCATATTATCTGTGACTTTAAATAATAAGTTTGGGCATTCAAGAACATAATCCATGTGTTCCCTCTATTTTACTACACTCGTCAGAGCTAATATCTAATTGGTCCATCCAAGCTCCCAGATGCAAACTGAAAGTATTCAATTAAATTGTAAGCGAAAAGTGACGAGGTTATCAACCATAGTTTGTGCATGTGTTAGTATCCAGAGAAACAGTGATGTTAAAAGGATAAAGTTTCAATTTCAATAATCAACCTCTAAAGACACAGTCATATAAATAAGAATTAAAGTATTATTAAGGAAGCTTGTAGTCGTTATTGATATTGCAGCGAAAAAACCACAAAGAATGCTCATTTGCAGTGGAATGAAACGACAAAATGAAAACTAAAGCATAATCTATTCCAAATTTTTGAAAGAATTCATTTCGGCCTTCTTGGTTTCAGAAGTGAAACAACATTAGTATTTAACACTAACAATTTTCTTTCAATAATTTTTTGAATCCTCTTATATCGTGCAGTTTCCTTAAAATAATGTCCATAGAAATTTCGGAACATCAAAATGACATTGAATAAATAAGTAATATGAGAGGTGATTACCCTGCTCTCCTAAATTTTGGATTAAAGGTTGAGAAAATGACTAATAAATTTTTACCTGCTGAACAATTGGATTTGTTGATGAGGAGAACTCATGGGTCATCCCTTGCCAAACAATCTTTCCTTCATGGAGAAATAACAGCCTACATATGGTAATAATTTAGGATGAGAACAGTCCCCAAAAACATCCCAAAGACTAAGGCGTAAATTGTAAAATGAATTTGAACTTAAATGATGTTCCAAAAACTGATGATTACCTGTCAACAGCTCTTCTAATTGTGCTATGTTGATGAGTGACAACAACATAAGATGCAATCTTCCCAGGCTTCCCAAGTGCATCCTCACCTTTCATATGAACAGAGCGGATGAGATCCTCAACTACGGTGGATGCAATTGGATCCAGACCGGCAGTTGGTTCATCATACAGGAGCACCTGCTCAGATGATGAATGTAACTATCACAAGCGGGGTGAATGACCAACTATCAGCCAACTTAGGCTTGATATGACATGTACCGCAGTTTTGAAAAAATAAAGGGCCTTGCTAGAAAATCGGAAATGACTTTTTGGATTATGACCGAGCACGTCATGGTTCTGTGAAGAGCCTTTCAATCAAATTCATTCGAGCTTAATAGTATAATTTCAGATCAAAAGATCTGTCATTATTTAGTCTCTCTCCTGTCTACCTTGAGATTGTGCAACCCCCCCCCCCCCCGGGGGGGCCTCTTTGATCAAGATGACAAGGTAATGTCACAATTGTTTGTGTGTAGAAGACCTATCATTGAATCAGCTATGGTCACCGTGCATTTCTACAATCCCCATAACTCTTAAAAAAAATAAAAAAGGTTGAAAGAAGGAAATCCCAAGACCTAAAGGATTAAAATCAAAAGTTTACCTAAAGGATTAAAATCAAAAGTTTTGTTTGAACTTAAAATCAAACTAACATTGGCATCAACTCTCGATTGAAGTTAAAGAGAAAAGAGGTTGCAAAGAAAATAGCAATTCTAAACGTATGCTTAATACTAGGCAGCAAGTAAGCTTTTGATTTAGGTTGTACTAGCGTGATTGATTTAGGTTGTACTAGCGTGAACTGATCTTTGCCAAGTTAGATCTGAGCTTGATTAGAGATCAAGCAAGGACAGTTGCTGATAACCCATAAGATGATTTAGGTTGTACTAGTGTGAGCTGATCTTTGTCAAGCCAGATCTGAGCTTGATCAGAGATCAAGCAAGGACAGTTGCTGATAACTCATAAGATTGCAAGTTATATTGTCACGTAATTGGTTGATAATTGTTGAAGAGCAACCCCTCAGTAGTCAGATCTTGGATTTGCTCTCCAATGGTCACCAGTTTGAGTCCCGGCCACTGAGGTGAGTAAATTTTAGGATCCCATGGGATTAGTCGAGGTGCGCGTAAGTTGGCCCGGACATCCACGATCATCAAAAAAAATAATAGTAGTAGTAATGGTAATAATAATAATAATAATTGTTTAAGAGCTAACTATTCTGTAATATAGTTGCCTTTTTATTAATAGTTTATTTTCTTTGGTGGTAAAGCTAAAAATCAGAAAACATTCCTCAGGCTTGAACTCAAGCCAAGCTGGCTGGATTAGACTTGAACAAGGCTCACGTTCAACATCAAACTTTGGTTTTACACTATAATGCCACACAGCTTTACCTGCTTTGAACCTTGTTTGATTTACTCTATCTCGAAGTCAAAAACTATATCCTACTCTAGCTCAGTGAAAATACATATCCTACTTAAAGTACAAGTACATCAAGCATTTCTAAAGGAAGGAACTTAAATATGCATACATTACCAGTGTCTTTCTTAAGACTTCTAACTGGCGAAAAGTTCATAACTTAGATGAAGATCAGAATCATGCTGAAGTGTACTTCAAAACACCACTCAGTAATCAAGTAATCAACTATTAGCCAATACAAACAGGCATCCACTTGGAACAATCAACTTTAATCATGCAAATATTATTTCTGAACTTACCAATTTCCTTTACTTGGATGATAACATATACTAGCTTCATTTGTTAATTGGATTGTGCAGTACACCACAAATGGAGCAGACAAAGTGATTACATTTGAAGATAGCTTGACTTTCCAGCATACATATAACAAGAACATTTATAAGGATCAATATTAACTGAGAACTTGTATATTGATGATTTTCCTTGGACAATGCAAGCTAAGATCCATAAAAATGACCTCATAACATCTCAAAAATACGTTTGTCCAGATTAATGAAAATTAAATCATAAAATGGAAGATGTAACATTTAATAAACAAAAGATATCTAAAGAGAAAATAGGAAAAAGCAACAATAGATAACTATAGACACAATAAAAAGAATATAGTAATGCACCTCAGGCTCTAATGTGTCTTTTGTGGTATCAAAGATTATGGAACGAGCTAAAGCAACTCTTTTTTTCATTCCACCGGACAATTCAGAGGGCAATCGGTCCTCAACTCCCTGCAAGAAACATTTATTGGAACATTTAAAAAAAAAAGGCAAGGATAAATAAATCCATAGTTTGCTCATGGCAGAACTCTTCCACTGACTTTACTGCCTCTTTCATCACTTAGGCAGTTTCCAAAGGGTTGTTTCATCAATTTCTTATCTTAATGTGCATATTTAGATAATTGTATCAGCTACAAAGCCAAAACAGATTGGCTAATAGCAAACACAAAATTTCACCCATTTATCAATTTTTCTGTTCCCCTATGTGCACATCTTGCTAATTATAAGATTTATAAACAGTTTTATGTTCACGATATCAAAAGTAATGCCTAAAAGAATTCAGGATTTGAAGTTTTAACAGTAAGCAATATAAAACCAAGTACTTCAGGAAATGACCCACATTGCTCCCTTAGGGAGATAGTGTGTTTTGCATTACTCTTAATATGATTGCCATAATACAATTATTTTATCTGATAACTTGCCAATGATCAGTTACAATGTACACGTATGCCCACCTAGCCACTATCTTAATGCAGCAAATTAGAGTATGAGTTCAGTATGCTAAATTAAGTTGTCTTGTCAAAGGATAATGATTTTTGTACACCTTCAATCCAACAGCAGCTAGAGTATCGGTGACAAGCTCTGCAATTTGATCCTCAGGCATACTTGAATTCTCATATCTGTCATGGCAAAAAAAGAGCAGATGCAAGACTTAGAAATATGAAAATATCTGCAACATCCTCATGGCAATGTGTAAAAAAACCCAAGATCCATTAAAAATCTTAAAAGGATTCCCTAACATAACTTACAAAAGGAAACCAACATTTTCACGAACAGTTAAAGAATCAAACAGAGCTGCACTCTGAAAAACCTGTTACATTGGAAAGGAGATTTAAAGAACCATTTTGTATTATTATGATAACTATGAATTATATACTTGATATAGCTCACCAAGCCTATTCTAAGACCAGATATTTCTTCATCACTGATCAAACCATGACGCCTTCTACCTCGGATCAAAACCTCTCCCTGATATTTAAACATAGTTCATGAAGATCTCAACATAAAGAAAGTCAATCTAAACAAAAAGCAGAATGGCACCAAAGAAGACCTAGTCTGATTAAATGACTTCGACAAACCTATTTGAAAGCAAACTAGCTAAAATGAGAAAGAAAAGAGAATTACCTTGTCCGGAGCAAGAAGCCCAGCCATGATCTTCAAGATGGTTGACTTACCAGTCCCAGAAGGCCCAATTATTCCAACAGCCTCTCCAAGCCTAATCTATGAATGAGCTAAAGTTTTTTTTTAGTTTAGATGCAAGGAGGATGAATACTCGATGTAAGGCTAAGGGATTAGGAATATTCTTAAGATAAATGATAACGAAAATAAAATTTAAATCTTAAACTCTATATAAAACAGAGCAATGAGTATAGCATGATGTAATCATGTGATAAATGTAGAAAACTGATGGAACGAATACATGGGACTGGCAATCCATGATATACATAAATCAGAAAAGACATTTGCACAACACATATTATTCTATAATGCTGGTTGATATAAAATCCAGTTATTGGTTTGGTTCCTCAAGAATATACTACTGATATTGAATTTCTAGCAATGCATAATTGTTTCTAACCTTTCAAAAAATAATAATTGTTTCTGTGATGCGTAAGCACGCTCAGACAAGATAAGAAGGATCCTTACTTAGGAAAGAGTCGGCCAAGAGAGAGAAGAAGAAAAAGAAGTAGAGGAGGATAATAAAAGATAATAGGTGTTAAATAATCAAGAAGCAAAAGATGTTCTTCATTACAAATTTACAGCCACAGGTTAAAACCTCTATTTCAATCTTAAGATATTGTCACCTACAAGGGCTAGCCAACCACCATTAACTTGTGGATTTGACCTAAAGTCATAATACATGATAAGTGTGTTTTTGCACACTTATTTAGGTCACAAACATGACTTAATAACGAGCAAAATGATTGAATTGTGACTTAATCTCATACATTTGTGAATTGTAAGGAACATCGAAAAACATGGTGAAATTCAGGGGGAAAACGCGAAAAAGAACTAAAATGACGCAAAGTGAAAGTTCAAGGACCAAAATGCAAATATCCAAAAGTTGATCCGATGAACAAATCGAGAAATCGATTAAGCCAATTACAAATTGACGATATCGTGGGATGATGAAATGAAAAGAATGAAAAGAAGATGCCAAGAAGTGAAGGATGCAAGTGGGAGGACCAAAACGCACATCTGTCATAGTTGATAGTACTATGCGACCGCATAATACTATCTTCTATGCGGTCACATAGTAGCATACCAAAAACAAAGAGGCTCCAAAAATTTACTCTATGGGACCGCATAGAGTTGCTCTATACGGTCGCATAGAGCAATTCTCGAGGGAAAATTCAGTTTCCTTTTTCTTCTGAAACTCTTATGGAAACAATATTTTTAGGGTTCTATAAATACAAAAACTCGACCAGAACGTAAGGGACGCCATTTTTACATGTTTTTGAGAGAATTTGAAGGAAAACGAATGATATAACAAGAGAACAACATTGCACCAAGTGAAGATCGGATTGAAGATTGATTCGGGTGATATCGTTTCTTCAAATATTTTTATGTTTTATTCTTTTTAGCATGTTAGGCTAGATTTATCATTGCTAGGAGATCGATGAACCTTATAATACTACGTTTAATTGTTGTTTTGGATTTTTGACGTATTTGAGTACAAGTTCCGGATTTGATTGATTTATTACGTTTTTATTTTCATACGATTATTGTGCACGTAATTATATGATTGTGGTGACCTGTTTTATGCATTCGAAATAAGGAAAATAGGTTCGACATAGTATAAATCATCATAAGGTCCAATAGAGGATATAAATATACCTCTATGCCTTGTGTGAATCATTGGATATTCGTGAATTTATAATGCATGTCGGTATGTTAGTATTCGTCATAGAAATATAGTCAAATCATATATTGGGATAGGTTTGACATTGCTCGAGAGAGATTGTTAAATTAAAATAGGAATATCGATTCATCTTTTGTGAAATTGTATGTCAAAATTGCATAATTGACAATTGAACGGGTATTGCTTGGAGATTCGTGATCCTAGTGCGTTAGTACATCCATTAATTCCATAAAATTCTAGTTAAATTGCATCCAAGTTATTTTACACTTAGTATAATTCTTCATTCATAATTGCATCAACGGTTACATTTTGTTAGTTAAAATACAAAACCTCAATTTGGTTGTCGTGTTTCGGTTAAGGTCGTACTAGATTAATTTGAACTAATTCAATTCTCGTGGAATCGATACTTGGACTCATAGTCCATTTTACTACTTGTTAACGAACCGTACACTTGCGGTGGATTTTAAATCGGAAAAAATAATTTCTTGAACAATACACATGATTGAAACATTCAAACAATTGAACAACCAAAAGCAAAGAAATTTCACCTTGAAGCTCACACCTCTTAAGATATACTTTTCTCCAAATGACTTGTAGACATTCCTACATTCAATAAGCACATCTGATTCATCCTCAAGCTCCTTTCCCACACTCAAATTATCTGTTTCATGCGAACCCTGGAGAAGGTATACACAGATATATTGCCTCGTGAACTTACTCTGATGAATTTGAACAAAAGAACTATAAGATCAACTACACAGATACATAGCCTCATGAACTCACTAAAATTATTTGAACAGAAGTAAGCTCAATCAAAATCAAGCTTTAGTAACTGTCATCCAAAAATGAGCCAGTTCTACAGGTTTCCATTGGTATCAAGACCAATTGTGAAGCAAACTAACGGATAAATATTAAATGAAAAATGCATTTGAGAAAAACTGAAGAAACTATGACTAGACCCTTGTTCAAGCCACATTATTTTGATAAGAATGCATTTTTGAATAGTTTTTTGATGGAAAATGTGTGGTTAAAAAATAAGGAAAAATTTTAAATTTAGGTGTAATATTATTTTATTGAAAAATGTGGGATGAAATGATATCAAATCACAGTGTAAGAATGTATTTTTTTGTAAGAATGTTTCTCAAACAGAGCCTAGAAAGCAAAATGCTATATGAAGCAAAACTAAGATTTAATCAATAATCGGCCAGAATAAATACCAAAAACGGCTCCGTCATGTATCAACCTAATGGAAATTTGAGAGGACAATCTACGTTCACGGAATGATAATCTAACAATTTGTTTGCCAAGACTATTAATTTAAGAAGAAAAGGAAAACTTCTTGAGGCCGAATCCTTCCTATAGGAAAAACTGAATAATTAGATGACTAATGAACATCATAAACTGAAGAAAAAAAATGTGGAATATAACTGAATAAGATGAATAGAAAGACATTCGACATTGCAAAATGATAAACCCCACAATAAGTTTTGGTATATAATTCCAGAACCAATTCTATGCCTTGAAAGTAGCATATCTAAGCATTTTATTAAACGTAAAAGTGAAAAAGACATTAAATTGCAATGAAAGAAGAACCTTTTGTTCTTACAGTGAATTTGGTGGGTGTGAAGTCCGCCGTACATTTACAAGCGACAATAGTCTTTCCGTATCTTATTGGGTTTTGATTATCATCAACCAAAAATCTTGGAGGGGAGCGAAAAGAACACTTCCCGATATTGCATATGCTTTTTCTGAGAGAATTCTTGTACACAAACGAACCACAACCGGCACCCACTAATGAAAGCATTGCTTTCACCAATACACGATTCCAGTTGAGGGGGGTCTGAATCAAAAGGGACAATTTTGAGGGCGACCCGGATCCAATAAAACGGAAATCAGATTCTCACACTATGTGTACCTATTATTTTTCTTACATTCTCTCGCTAAATCATTTTACGTAGTTACCAAACGAAGACCGACTATGTCAATTCAAATTAAGCAACCCCAGAATCAACCTTAAAGCTTGCGATAAAGGCCAGGGAAGATTTCTGTTGGGTCTCCAATTTATTGGAAATGTATCAAGTAGGTCCTCAATCTAATACTTTGACGGTTGAAATCCCCACATTTTTCTTTTATAGCACAGGAATCCCTGTAGACAGTTTTACTTTTTAACTTCCATTAAATTTTCAATTTTCATTTAAAAAATTTATACATATCGAATAATTCTAGACATGCATTTGCATTTTAACTTGTCGGAAATTGTTTTGATCTAAGATTTCAATTCTTTCAATAGTAACATATTGTTCTATTGAGTTAAAATCCACCAAACTCTACGTTAATCATATAGAGGTTGAGTCCTCTCTCATCGAACAAGGGAATGATGGGCAACTACTCAACTCCTAAAGATGTCCAAACATCTACAATTTTAACTACTCAACTCCTAAAGATGTCCAAACATCTACAATTTTGTTGATATTTACGTATTGAATTAATAAGCTACCATGTCGTGCCCCCGTTGCCAGATCCTTGTTTCATCACAGCGAAGGAATACAGCTATGATTTTCAAACTTTCACAAAATGATTACAAAATTAAGGGATAATAGCAGTTACGATCTCAAACCTTTTATTTTTTGGCATATTTTATTCATACCTTTCATTTGTGCTGCCCACAATCTCAAAATTTTATTTAATTGCAACAAAAGGACAAATGGATAATTTCCACCCATAAATCCATCAATTGATTAAAAAGCTTGACTTTAACCTAACCAAATTCTGACTAACTTTAAAATGAGTAAAATAGTAACTTCAGATTTTTCAAATTAAATAATTTAACAAAAATCCATTGAAGACAGGGCTAATTCCTACAAATGGACAAATGGAAACGGTGAAGACATGAAGGTACTCTCGAAAATGCATAAATTCAAGCCAGCAAAATTCCACAGGCACACTAAAAATCAAGACCAAGATAAACATTACATGAATTAACTAAAATGATTTCACGTAAAATAAAAAAATCACTGAAAGCTAAAAACTAGAAATCAATCCAAGAGTTCATTTTCATCGACAAATTCCAAAGACGATAGTTAACCAAAGGCAAAATTCACAAGTAGCAAGCACATCTTCTTTGTCAAATTGAAACTTTATCTCCTCTATTGCCCTGGGAGTCCAAGATTAAATTAGATCCGCCACATTCATAGGCATTTCATCGATCTGGGTACTGTAGTACTGCTCTATATCTCGTAAGATTTTGATGTCATCGCTTTTAACAAAGTTAATTGCAACACCCTGCATGTCATCATAAAGTGAACATTTAACAAGCTTCCGTTGATGTTTGTTGGAACAGCCGGGCAGTTAATACCCAGATATCCAAGCGTTGAAAGAAATACAATCTAAATCAATGTTAAAACTCAAAACTCAGACTCAAACTAAACAGTAATTGACTCGAACACACTAGATTGTTTGTGCAAGCTTTGACCGAGTCACAAAATCAAGGATCATTAGTTTTTAGATGTTTCATGAAGAAGGTCATGACCCAAAAATATAGCATTAAGATCAAAAAACTTGCGTATTCAAAATTACTCACAAAAAATTATGAAAAATACGTTCACAAATTCAAACTCATTAAACTTCGGCAGTTGAATATAGAGGGCAGTGACTGTTCTTAAACTTTTGTGCCAAGAACTAAAGTGAACAACGAGGAGGAAACATCTAAAAATCATGCTAAGCAACTCGAAAAATGAACATATAGAGAATCAAGCTGAAAACTTGAACGAATGTGCAAGTACCTTTCTTCCAAAACGGCCAGATCGTCCAATGCGGTGAATGTAAAGCTCTCGATTGTTAGGAAGGTCATAATTGATCACCAAGGAAACCTACAAGAATGAAATATGAACAGGCAAATGACATTACGCTCCATCATACAACTCAGCATACGACCATTTCCTTTATATTACACATTATAACACAGCACATCTTCAGCACACACCATTTGCATGTAAAACAGAGAGAAGAAAAAAGAGGATTCAATCCATATGCTACCACATTGTAGAAAAACTGGCAATGTCCCATGTAATGAAGATGTAAATTTTTCAGAATTCTAAACACAATTTATAACTGCTGAGTTTTTCCCTACAAAAAGTATAAAAAAAAGATTGGTGGACAAACAAATGGCGATCAGACTTTGAATATTGCGATACTGGACCATGAAGATACAACATTACAAAGTGCTCCTCCTAGAAATAGAAACTATCTGATTTCATTTTTCCGCTAGTCATGTCTCATAACCATAAGACCCCCTAAATACAAATAAAAGAAAAGTTCATCATTGCACTATTCTTTGGAAAAAACTAAAACATCTCTGTGTTTATATTTGTGCATGTTCCATACTTCATATCCATATGAATTAATTCATTTTAACTCAACTAGTTTCCTCCCGAATTAATTAATAAACAAGTAAACATTTTCTAATATTTAAAGTCAACATATATAACCCTAATAACATATCTTAACATCTCTTTCAAAAATATCATTTGAAATATCAAGTATTAGAGAGGAGATTTAAATGCATTTTGATAAACTTCATAACTTTTAGCCATGCAATATATGCACTCATATTAGTTTGTACTGGATATGGTATGATGTAAAGAAATTTCCAGCTAAATTAACTAAGAATCAGATATTCTGTGCAAAATGATACTAAAACCAATGTTCGCACATGATTCCAACTTAGTGCTTGTTTGGGTATCGCTATTAAGTTGCTGAAATTATAATGATAGAAATGGGTGGTGGATAAGAGGCTAATAGTTGTGGTCCTCCTAAATGTGCAATTAAAATTTTTGACTTTGACCTTGAAACTATAAAGAGCTTATAATGAAACACATATAAGAGAGTATTTGGCACCCATTTTTATGGAAAAATGAATTTTAGAATAGTAGATTGATGGAGAATGTGTGGATAAAAAATAAGGAAAAGTTTTCGATATATGTGTAATATTATTTTAATGAAAAATGTGTGGTTAAAAAGAAGAGAAAGAAAAATGTATTTTGATAAAGATAAGAATCAAACGGGACCTAAGCACTTAATCCAATAGTTCTATATAATAGAAGTACATGGCGAAATGCAAAATGACAAATATGGGGTCTTTCTCACTGTCAATAAGAAACCTTCCATTCCTACTCGTTACCTCTCTTTTTCACCTAAATGACTGCACGTGAAACTGTGCAGCAATACAGTACGTATTTGCATTCATTTTATGAGGCTTATTTTTTAGTTTCAGGGTATACTATGGACTAATAATGCACAGGTATCAAATTTATCAAGAGAAGTTTACAATTACATATAAACTTAACTTTCTTTTTATGCGATTCTTTGTTCTGTTTCGAGACTATATTCAGGATCTTTCAAAGCATATATTAAATATAGCCATGAGGACTTATCTAACAACTAACAAATTGTATGGGTAAGGAAACAGATCCTTCGCTTTTGGTAGCTAGGATATACAGACATGGATTATTTTTTTTAAATAAAAAGGTAGGAAAACGGAGTTTGACCTTCTTGAAATGAAAGAAATATAAGAGGAAGAAGTATGGAAGTAGAGTTTACCTGTTGAACATCCAGCCCCCTAGCCCAAACATCTGTGGTTATAAGAACCCGAGTTTGACCAGACCTAAACTCTGCCATAATTGCATCCCTTTCTTTCTGTGGCATGTCTCCATGCATGGACGAGACAGTAAAGTTATTCTCACGCATTTTTGCTGTCAGCCAATCCACCTGTCACACATAAAGAGATACAATATAAAATACAAGGAAAATAAATAATTACAAAAGTACCATGATACCAGCGTCTACACCATTTTCCTTTTCCTTTTTTTTCTTTTTTTATGACCGTGAGTGTTCAGGCCAACTTTCGCGCGCTTTAATTAATCCCACTGGACCCTGAAATTTACAGTCAGATACTCATTTCAATGGCCCTGAGGTGACTCAAATTAGTAACCATTAGGGAGCAAACTCAATACTTGATCACTAGGCTACCCTTCAGGGTTCATCTACGCCATTTTCCTTATTGCAAGATTGCATATTAATACTTTTTTTTATTCTCATTTATCAATTTATTTATTTTGGTCTTAGAAGAGTTGGTATTTCCTAGAGTTGCAATTGATTAATTGTATTCCCAATAATATTTCTTGACATGAAAATTGAGACACCAAAACTTGTTTGCAGTCTGAACAAGTAAAACTACAAGTGCACCACATACTCTCTCGTCAATTTAATATTTGCAATCATGATATATATTTATTGTTGTTAGTTTTCATAATCAAAGAATTTAAATGCTATGCACATAGTGAAATACTAATATGAGGGTAATTTGGCAGGGCGGATATTGAAAAAATAAAAATGACTTTAACCCAAGGAATCAGACTTCGTACGGTCAGTTTCAGATCTATTAAAATATTTTTTGTACAGATGTGCCTGTGTCTCAACTTTCAGTGATCCATATGTAATATTTTGAACCAACATTATTTTGAAGTAACCAAAATCTTTAACTTTATTTCAAAATCTAATAAAAATATATCGTTTTGCTCATACCCATCCTCTAAAACAATTTTTTCTACAAAATCACATCAACATCTCACACATAATGATATAGCAGTGTCCCCACGTCCTCAATTTTGAAGATTGCAAACACTAAAAGCCTAAAACACTAGTACCTCGGCCAACTCTGTGAAACATGAGGAAAGATCATAGAGTGACTCAATTCTCTATGGAGTTCTGAATGGTAATGAAAAACATACTTAATATTGAATATTGGCACTTCTGTTGTATTCCTTTTTGACGCAACAAGGTACTGAACTGTTTAATTCTTGAGTATATATAATAAAATCAAATTAAAGAACACCAGCCCAGAGAGAGGTAGGGAGAGAGGAGAGAGGAGAGAGGATCACAAACTACTGATGAAGGTGTGAAAATGTGCTGCTAAAAAGATCATTTCAAGATTTCAATTTGTATTCTAACCATTGGACATGTGTCTTTCACAGTGAAGAAATCACCATTAAACACTGAAAAAGGAAAAGATATAAGTTTCTACCTTTCGCTTTGTGTTGCAAAAGATTACAGCCTGAGTGATGGTAAGGGTATCATACAGATCACATAGAGTATCAAATTTCCATTCTTCTCTTTCTACTGCCACAAAGAATTGCTTAATGCCCTGTGACAATATAAACGTAATTCAGCAAACAAAAAGGATACAGTGGGTTCCGTACATTTTGAAAAAACAGATTAGCCGTCACATGAGCTAAAAAGAGACATTTTGAGCTCGATCAAGCCAAATCACAACTCTAAGTTCCAAAAGAATCAGAAACCGATCCCTTGCTTCTGATGTTTGTTGGAAAGTGTATTTTGTCGGTTAATATTTCAATAGGCTGAAAGATCTTGCAAAATATTTTATTATCAAAAAATGCTCACCTCTAGGGTCAATTCATCACGTTTTACAAGGATGCGGACAGGATCTGTCATGAATTTGCTTGTAATCTCTAGGATCTCGTTAGGAAGAGTGGCAGAAATCAAGACAACCTGAATCGTATTATACATCATAAATAGTCTGTGCAGGGAGAAACAGCACAATACAGGTCCAATTTGCAAAAATCCACCACAGAGGGATGCAATTAGATGAGATACACTAAATCACAGAGTGATATGCACATTGTACTTATCAAGAATTAATGATTCAAGTTACTTGGGCAAATTGCATTGAATTTGAATCAAAAATCAAATGCATCTTAGGATTCAACCAAACCAATTGGTATAGTAAGCATTGTCAGGCTATTTGACTTGTGTTTTGAGACTCGCTTCGGGTGAAGCTTTTATTGAACAATTGAAACTTATATTTTAGTGTCATTTGTCAAGGATAACACCTCGAGGCTAAGATTCAGGGACACTGAAGTATGCACTAGTTTGTCACGTATTTTCTGGACTTTTTCTACCGAACTCAACCTTTTGGGCTATTTATTTTATTGTCTGAAGCATTTTTACAGTTTTTTCCCCATTTTATGCACGTACACGTTTAGAGGAACGGAAACAAAAGGCACTATTGCAATAGAGGATGATAACAGAAATATAACTAGATTAGGATCGTGATTGGGAAATCAAATACGTAATGGAACTTGCTGATTTATAAATCTATTTCATATTTTCTTGCATGTCTTAAGTTTAATTTTGTTTTTTTATTATTGAGTATTTTCAAGATGGTTTATGCTTATTATGAGCATGGTTTTCGTTCCTATTTTCCTTTGAATTATTTTATTGGCTTGTCCATTACAGAGCTAAAATGCCTCGTATACAATTTAGCAGTTTTAAACATTGATATCATGAACCAATCAATTCAGAACCAGTAAATCTATATTCTAACAAAATCAATTTACAACCTTTCATCAAGTTTTTTAGCTAAAATATTTCTTTCAGTTTTTTAAGCTAGATCCCAAGATTTTTAAAGCTTTACTCTATCTATAGGAATTTTCAATGAAGTGAAATATTAACTCTCATAATATGATAAAATTATGCCTAGCCCGCCCACGTGCAAAGATTTGGACTGATAATTTGCCTTATTTGAAACTTTTTAAGGAGCAGTAAAAGATAAGAAAATTGATCTTTACTACTATCTTATGCTCTATTTATAAGAAGGTAGTAAATATAAGATCTATATGTTTATAAAAAAAATAAACGTAATTTCAGAAATACACGAGCAGGAAACAAAACCAAGGACTTGCTGCACACATGCATAATGTTATTTATTCATTGCAATGTTGCTCGTATCCTATGTTTTGGAAGAATGGCATGTCACTTGACCTTATAGGGACAATGATGCACATGTCAACCTGCATGCCAATTTGATTTCAAGCTCAACTTGTATGCCAATTAATAAACCATATTCTATGCTCATTAGTCATTTAATTTTGGTGAGATGAGAGTAACGAAATGCAAAAACATAAACTTTGATTCTCCATTCAGTCCAGAAGCATAAAATACAAAGAAAAAGAAAAAGAAAAAGATCATATCATCTTGCAGTTATATAAGCTGACCTAAGAGGGACACATAACATTTACACATACAGACGGGAGTCACCTGAAGCTCTGGTGGAAGATATCTGTAGACATCATAGATCTGATCCTTGAATCCACGGCTCAACATTTCATCAGATTCATCCTGACAAATTTCGAAAAGAAAAATATATAAAGAATCATATACGCTTGAATAAGTCAAGAATTGAGAATATGACCTAATAAGCCTTCATTTGGCTAATTTATAAGACATTTATAAATGGTCAAACTTCTTTTGCAACCACACATTCCAACATACCCAGAAACCATTCATTTCTATCTATTTAACCACTCGTTTCCATCTATGTATAAATTAAATCATTTATATAATCTTCACGAACGAAGCTATGTGGCCTTTGAACCGATGCACATCACAATGAAAATAAGTACATAAAATACAAAATTAGAACAATGTATGGATGAAAACGACCATAAACTCACAAGAATTAATAATTTGATGGATCTAGTTCTTAGAGTTCTCCTCTTGATCATATCACAAACTCTGCCTGGGGTCCCTGAGACAACATGAACTCCGTGCTCCAGTTTCCTAATATCCTCACCCACACTTTTGCCTCCAATGCATGCATGAGCCTGAATGTTTATATAGTCACCAATGGCCAATATTACTTTCTCTGTTTGAGCAGCCAGCTCCCTTGTAGGTGACAATATTAAGGCCTGGACCCTGATTTCAATTGGAAAAGAAGCATGAATTCAAGTATTCAATTGCCTTGCTTCTTAAATATTCATACAAAATTATCGAACCAAAGATAGATGAAAACATTCAATATACAGTCGCTAACATAGCAAGGCTTGGACCCTGATTTCAATTGGAGAGAGAGAGAGAGAGAGCGTAAATCCAAGTATTTCAATTGCTTTGTTCTTAACTATATAAAAAGTGCTAAAACCAAAGATGAATAAAAAAACAGTATAGTTGCTATACCATAATTTTCATTTAATTGAATGTAAGTACATTTTATAGTTCAGATACAAACGAACAAAATGGAAAAAGAATAAGACCAACATACCTTGCCATAACTAGACAAGACAGTTTACAGCCTAAATAAGGACTCTATGCTCCATTATCCCCATCCCCGGTACACAGAGCAGGAGGGGATTATAAAATTCATTATCAATTTGCAGGATCCAAAATTTCCCAAATCTTATAAAAATGTAAGTACATTTTATAGTTCAGATACAAACGAACAAAATGGAAAAAGAATAAGACCAACATACCTTGCCATAACTAGACAAGACAGTTTACAGCCTAAATAAGGACTCTATGCTCCATTATCCCCATCCCCGGTACACAGAGCAGGAGGGGATTATAAAATTCATTATCAATTTGCAGGATCCAAAATTTCCCAAATCTTATAATACAAGTTTTGCTGAAGATTATATTTTCATTCGACAACATCTCTTGTTAGGAATCAATCCTCCAATCAGAAATATGATTTGTTTGTTTTTAAATGAACTTCCCCTTTAAATGTGACACAACATGCCATTAAATTATGTGAATACTAGCACGTAATGTTGGACAGTACTATACATCTATATTGGTATTTTCAAGTCTATATGCAATATACGATACACGGCTATCTTTTTCAATCCAATCTAAGTACTAAAATATGTGTAGTTTGCCTTAAATAGTTTGATGCATTAAGTAGATACATCTTTATTGTGTAGAGATCTTATGTTGGAGCCTCGTTCCGTGCAATTTGCCCCAGATTTTTACGAAAATTGTTCAGATTCGAGGTTATATTAATCTCACTAACTTGCTTAAATTTTGCTCGGGGCAGGGTAAACCCATCAATTGATGTCGCGATTTTGCTAGGTGTACATCGGAATGTACCTAATGGTGTACACCCCACTTATATGGGCGAGGGACTCACTCGAATAAAATATCATTTCTTTTACATGGGTCTCACACCCATGTAAGTGGGGTGTACATCATTCGATACACCCCATTATGTACCACTAGGCAAATTCTTGATGTCGCATACACCTATTGATATATCTGTACATAGATTTTTTTTTAAATAGGTCCAATCGAATTTTTTTTTTTTCAAATTGGTCAAATCAGAGTTTAGATTTCACGAGTTGGTTCAATTTGACTTTTATAGATACGGCAGCAATGTAGAATGTTTCAATTTAATACTATTCAATCTAAGTTACCACACATTTGTGTTGCACTACTAAACCTTCTTAGGCCCCGTTTGAGCCACATTAATATAAGAATGAGAATAAAAAATATAATTATTACAGACCCATACAAAAGATAAATTTTCAAAGGGAAGAGTTCACCAATCATGTGTTAAGTATGCATAATTCAAAATCCAGTTAAAAGTTTCATTAATGCAATAATCAAGTTTTCACTAATTAATTAAAAATATTTATTAAATAATAATAATAAAGTCACAGTTATACGATTAATAGTCACGAATTCACAACTATAGGTCACGAATTTTTTTAACGGTTACATATCATCAAATTAATTGGTCACAGATTTTTTCGAGGTCATAAATCACAATTTTGATAGGTCACATATTATGTCGAGGTCACGGATCGAAAAATTATAGGTCATGAATGGGCACAAATTCAAAAAATTATAAGTCACGTGTCATATATTTTCAAATCTTATAGTCACAATTTACTTTTTTGGTCACAAATGATCGAATTTTAAAGTTACGGGTCAAATAGTCGACCATCACCACCAACTTCATTGCCACTATCATCACCCTATCACCACTAACAAAATAGTCGCTACCAGATCCATCACCACCGCCAAACACACCAAAAAAACCACCACCATCGTCGCCACGAGATCCACCACCAACCCGTCGCCGCCAACAATATGGACATCACCATCCTGCACCGCAGCGTACCATAACCACCATCTAACAAAAAAACCCCAAACTCACCACCTCCACCCCCTTCGTCGTCGCGAGAACCACCACCATCCCCATTCATCACCATCACCAAGCCACACAACAACTGTCACACCACAAACCACCACCCATAAGCCATGATGTAACAAAAATCCCCATACCCGCCACAGCAGATTCACCTCCTCCCATGTCATCACCGTCACCATATCCACGCAGAAGCCAGGCAAATGCAATGACGCCAACACCGGCAAAACTACAGATCCACGAACAGAGGCGCTGACTCTAGAGTTGTGCGAAGTATCAGTTGCGACTTCGATGCAGTCGACGTCGAAGAGAAAGACGGTTGAGATGGGCCAAAACAACCGCCTACAGATCGGAAAGAGAAAGGAATTGCACGTCGCGAGCTGCTGCGTTGCCTCCTATGTCAGCGCCGGTACCTCCCCATGCTATCAGGCTCCCTTCGTTGCCAATCCTAGAGTTTAATTACTCATCGGCGTCGAGCAACGAAAGAGAGGATGGGAAAGTCTTGTAATGGATGGGTGAAGAGATTAGGGTTTGAAATTTGAATTGAGTGGATTTAATTTATTAAACCTGACATGTGAATAATCAAACTTTGAACCTGATTTTTGAATTGGGATCTTTAAAGGTCTAGAATTCTATAATTTTCACAAATTTTGTTGAATGTAGCCCCTCCTCCATTGTGCACACATAGCACAATTCATTCATTAATTGGGTCACAGTCCGAAACAAAATTTCTTAGCCTTGCAAGTTTCAATTTTATAGTTGAATTGTATCATTTTATTGATTTTAGACATTATTTGATCCACATTATTTGGAAAAAATACATTTTTAAATAGTGAATTCACATCATTTCAATCACACATTTTTTATTAAAATAAAATTACATGCAAATTCAAAACATTTTCTTGTTTTTTTAATCACACATTTTTCATCATTACATTGTTCAAAAATGCATTTTTATGAAAATAATGTGGCTCAGACAAGGACTAATTTGTATTGAAACAAATATGTTCGTATGTAACATTAAGTCTTATGGTGAAATTTCAAACAAATGTATTTAACTTTCCACTTATTTAAAAGATGTTACTTTATATCGTTAAAATCAATGTTTTAAAAATCGATCAAGGCATCGACCCGAAAAATGAAACTGGAGTCGAACCAATATCAAACCGTATGACAAATTAAATAAATAAATGCACAAATAAACTAAAAAAATATCATAACTATAATAGATTTTTAAATTTTAGTTTTCTCATTCAAAGTAAATGTAAATACATGTTTGTTAATTAGATTTATTATAATAATTTATTTTATAATATCAAAAACTAAAAATTAATATGTCCAAAATAATTTACTTTGTTCAAATTGAAAATTATAATCTTATGCAGGTGTATGATTTGTTAATAAAAATAATGAAGTAAACCACTAAATACTTAGAATTGACAATTAGCTAGTATCCTACATTAGAATATTACCACAACATTGCAAGAAGTCTCCTTTAAAAATAAGCTAGCATACCATATTCGAAGGTTACTAAAATATTAAAAGAATAGTCTCCTTTAAAAATGAGAGGTAAATGAGAATCACTTATATAAAAGAAGTTATTTGGGTCTTCAATTGCAATGGATGGCCCATTAAGATAGTTAAAAGTTTTTTGTAGAAAAAATTAAATCACTCGAGAAAAATCGTTACCGATTTTTTGATTCATGGTTAAACCGTCGGTTCACGATGTTTTTGGTTGAACCGGCTAGTCTTGTCCGATTTTTATAACATTGGTTAAAACCGTGGTTTGAAAATTGAAATTGTTTGATTTGGTTTGAAAATTTTGATTTGAAAATAAATGAAAAAGGACCCAAATCGAATCATGTACACCTTATGTGCAACCTATAACTCAATTGACTTTGTTGCAAGCAGGAGTTACCATATGGGTTAACAGTCTTGGCCTATCCATATGCTCTCCACCCTGACTCCTGGAAGGCACATCCTGCGATTTACCTCCTCCACGATGGCCCAGGGTAGGGTCGGTGGAGGCCCCTAAGGTTGGGGTTCAACCTTTTATAACTCAATTATTTTCATAATTAAATTCCAGTCTTTATTTGAGGCTACCAAATGGACCTAATCAAAGTTACACAATCCAAACTCCGATAATTAAGCCAATTCTCTTCGACTCCGATCCAATTATGAATCTGGTCTTACTCCATTAAATGCACATGACTGCGTTCTCGAATCATGTAAAATAGCACAAGCAATATTATTTCAATGTCAATCTTCAAGACTTGTTATCTATATGTGTATTATCCCGTCGAGCATCGAATAATTAGTTCATGGCCAAGCGATCGTTTTGATATTTCGCTTAATTCTCATTTTCTTCCATAATTTCTTCAAGAACACGTCGAGGAATTCATTCCATACATTGAATCAGATTTAAATTTGTGGATTAATTAGCCCATTTGCATGGTTGGTGGATTCCTAACGCAAATGCATGTTTAATACTTCGATTGTTTTCAGCTCTTAATGTATTGGGATATTAGATCATATAATTAGATCCTAGTCATTGGTACGTCAAATATCCTAGAATTCAACAATAATGATTAATATTCCGTTATGAATTTACGTAATCCATTAAGCAGTCATATGGAGTTTAATTTTTCACACGGTCGTGCTATGAAGCTTTATCCAATGGTCTTGTTCAATACACTTCAATGTATAATTATTGTAGTAAAGTCGCTTACTCTCGATAACTTCTTGCTAAGATAGAGACAAATTGCATATCACAGTAGAAAGACTGATTCGACCTTTGCTTGTCGATTTAGGACAATGGATTCTCGATCGATATACAAATTAGTCTTTTATGTTTCTAAATGCAAACATCCAATTTACACGTCACCATCAATAAAACACTTACAAGCTCAATAAATGCAACTATTTGCTTAAATTAAAAAAATAATAAATGTTTACTTGGAACACAATTCAAATAGACATGATTTGTAAAAAAAATAAAAAAAATCCTCACAATCTTTACTTGGAAAGCTTCCTTTCAGTACACAAATATTGCATAAATTTAAAATAACGTGTTTGAGCCACATTATTTTGATAATAATGCATTTTTGAATAGTGTAATGATGGAAAATATGTGGTCAAAAAATAAGAAAAAGTTTTTTATTTGCGAGTATTATTATTTTATTGAAAAATGTGTTATTGAAATGATGTCAAATCACTGTTTAAGAATACATTTTTTTGGAATATTGTGACTCAAACAGGCGCTTAGGGGGTGTTTGAGCCACATAATTTTGGTAATAATACATTCTTGAATAGTGTATTAATGAGAAATGTATGGTTAAAAAATAAGGAAAATTTTTTGATTTGATTGTAGTATTATTTTATTGAAGAATGTGTGATTGAAATGATATCAAATCATTATTTAAGAATGTATTTTTTTTAAAATAATGTGGCTCAAACAGACCCTTAGTAAATCATGAAAGAAAGAAATAATGACCCAGAATTTTGTATAACATATTGCCATCAAATAATTTACTTCACCTCATATTCATGCGATCATGCCACATTTTGCATAATTGGATTTGGACGCCATTCACCAATCGAGCTGATGGGAAGAAAGACATCTGGTCATCCTTGAGTCACTTCCCCCTAAAATAATCGATGAATACTTGTTGATTAACCCCTCAATCTATGCGTAATGTCACGACCCGCTCAATCTTGGCACAAGATCATCGAGAAATTAAAATGTTGACGAGTTGGGGCTAACCGGAATATTCTAGACTCCCACAAGTGCATGAAGATTACTAGAATATGGTGGGACATTCTAGAAACTACAAGCCCCTCACTTGGTGGATTAATCTAGATCATCCTAGTTTAGTCCATAGATATTTTGATGTAGATATTTGTATAGATAATTCTAGAGGTGTAATTTAGACCGTTGGATAGAAAAGATCCTAGCCATCCATTTGAGGAGGCTACCACTATAAATAGCTTGGTAGGATTCATTTGAAGAATCAAGAAAGTGAAGTTGTAAAGAGTATTCATTATTCAATACAAAGCCTTCTTTGTAAACTCTTGTGTTCCTTCATTGTCCCTTTCTTAAAGTGTTCTACTTAGTGCCTTTCTAAGACATCAACGCCAATCGGGAGACTGACTTAGTGTAATAACCGCGGGGGTGGAAGTTGAAGACACTAAGGCCGCACGGTTCTTGGAGGAAATTAGCAAGTCCGTGACAGTTGGTATCAGAGCCTAGGTTTGCTCACTTACTATCGTTGGGATGGCGGAAAAAGATGTTGTGGGATCCGGCATTTCGGAAGTAGAACATGACGAACGGGGTCGAGAGGTCGAACCCCAAACCACGAGTAAGAAAACTCGACACACTCGAAGCAAGAGCCGACCACCAGCCCCTACCGGTGGATCTCTTGAGGAGGTATTTCTCAATATGGGGGAACGCATTGAAGTAGTGGAGAATTCACTCTCAACCCTTGAAGCTCACACCTTGGAACAACTTGATGATCTCAAGGAAGACCAAGGCGCTTTAAGGGAAGAATATACGAGGTTGGAGGTTAAGGTCATGGATGCTGTCAAAGCGATCCAAGACCAAGTGAACAAGCTTTGCGCGGATATGCAAAGTGGCCTAGACGCTTGTAAGAAGGCGTCAACCAGTGCGGGTACTAGCACGATGCTAGCAGCTCCAAGGATCGACTATCCAAAGCCTAGGGAGTTCGATGGAAAGCGAGATGCAAAAGAGCTGGATGATTTCCTATGGCGATTGGAAATATATTTTGAGGGCGTGAACATTTTGGATGAAGCTATTAAGGTACGTACTTCGACTATGTATCTTACGGACACCGCGGCTCTATGGTGGCGACGTAAGCACGCCGACATAGAAAATGGTGCTTGTAGGATAGATAGTTGGGATGATTTCAAGAGAGAATTGAAACGCCAATTTTATCCCGAAAATGTAGTATATGAGGCCCGTAAAAAGCTTAGGGAGTTGAAACATAAGGGCACTATTCGCGATTATGTCAAAGAGTTTACTACCCTTGTGCTTCAAATCCCGAGCAT